ACACGACGGTGCTAAATCACACGGATATTGAGTTTCTGATGATGTTAAAAAGACATTTCCAAATTTGAACATTTGAACGTGGTGTCGATCAATGTGTACGGTATCAAAAATGGATAGGTCTTTTCTCCGCGGCTCACCGACGATAAGGAGAACGTGCTGTACGTGCAAGATCCACGTATCAGCCTTACTTTGAGAATAAAAAATTTGTCGCGTCTCGTGAGATCGCAAATTACTAGAAAAAAGATTACAAGAAATATTTCTGCGACCGGTAAGTATAATAAAAAGCTGATAAAAAAAATATTAAAAAGAAATATATATATATATAATGAAAAATAATTTCTCTATTTACAGGTACCTCCATTACTTTAGTTCGTGTGAAATATTGCAGTCGCATGCAATGGACTGTCAAAAGATGAATGATTGCACCATTTGACTGCTGAGCGTGGATGACAAGTGGTTTGAATTTAGTAACCAGAATAATCAGGAAGTGCCGTTCATTGCCGTTCATTGCCGTTGTACGGAAGATGGAACCCAACAGAAATTCGTTTTATATTTCAATCATCTTTCACAATTTATCCGACTACGACGCGCATTTTATAATTAAGGAAATTGCTATTGCGTACGATGAGACATAGATTTATTATCGAATAATGAATGAAAAATACATATCGTTTACCAAACGTTAAAGATACCGCCGAGAGAGCAGACTCGAGAAACTGTATAAGATTAAGGTTCATCAACAGTAACAACACCTACACCAACACCAGCAACAACAACAGCAGCAACAGCATCAACAGCAACAGCAACAACATCAACAACAACATCAACAGTAACAACATTAACAGCGCCAACATCAACAGCAACAACATTAACAACAACAACGATCTACACCAACAGCAACAACAACAACAACAGCAGCAATGTACTTGTGCATTGCACGAGGTGCATGTACTTGTTACAGACTTGGACGTCCAATTGAGACTGCTACGCCAGAAATCATTGGCAAAGTCCACGATATTGTTTTGATTGATCGACAAGTGAAAGTGCGCGAGCTTGTTGAGGCCACAGGCATATCACATGGCATAGTGATTTCAATTTTGCACGAACAATTGGATATGAAAAAGCTCGGCAAGATGGGTGCTGCGTTTGTTCACTGTGGACCATAAGCGTGACTGTGTGACGATTTCAAAACAATGTTTGGAGATGTTTCAACATAATCCAGATGAATTTCTGCGTCGATTACTGTGGACGAAACATGGATCCATTACTTTACACCCGAAACGAAGGAACAGTCAAAATAATGGACTTCACCGAGTAAATCAGTTCCGAAGAAGGCGAAGACCATGAAGTCGGCCGAAAAAGTGATGGCCACAGGTTGTTGGGATGCACGCGATATAATTCATTGATTCTTCCGTCGAAGCAAACAATCAATGGCGATTATTATTACTCCTTATTAGACCATTTCAACAACATTTTAAAGAAAAACCGGCCCCATTTGGTAAAGAAGAAAGTGCTCTTCCATCAAAACAATGCATGGGTTCATACGTGTCCGGTATCGATGGCCAAATTCAACAAATTCCGCTACGAATTGCTTTCTCATTCAACATATTCGCCAGATTTAGCTCCCTGCGACTATTTCCTATTTCCAAACCTGAAGAAATGGTTCGGAGGAAAGAGATTCACCACCAGAGAGCAGCTCATCGCCGAAACAGAAGCTTACTTTGAAGGGACAAATCATATTATTCGGACGACTTGAAAAAGTTGGAGAATCGTTGGATTAAGTATATCGAGCTAAAAGGAGACTATGTTGAGAAATAAAAATGAATCGATCCAAAAAAATGTGTTTTACTATGTTTTTCTAAAAACTTATTGACTTGCCCTCGTAGCTGTTAAATAGTAAAAAAGTTATAAGAAAATGTAGCAGGTGAGTTGTATTTATTTTTAAATGTTATGATGCTCTATGTGAAAATAATAAAATTATTAGTTACATAATATTAATAGTTACATAATTTTATTAGTTACATAATATTAATAATGAGTAATTATTTAGTTTTCCTTCCTGAGTGAAAACTTCCTGAGCGAATTAAAATGGCATTAATATCAAATGCAGTGCAAAAACGCTGTGCAAATATTAAAGAAAAATATAATAGAAAATATTGCTGCTTTATAAGTAATTTGCTTTTCATTTATTTAATCTTTTTTAAAATCTGGAATACAAATTTCATAGTTTTAACAGTTTTTTCTTTAAACTCACAAACGAGCTTCTTTTTACTATAAAACTTTATAATTAGTATTTAACTTTATAATTAGTATTTAAAGATATACTAATTTGAAAGTAAATGCCTTTTATATTTTGTTTAAAGTTAATTAAATAAACAATAGTTACAGTACAACAATTATTTATTAATTTTTTAATACAAATGTCCTATAATATTTGTTAAATTACAGAATTTATGCAAAAACATCCAGAGTTGCAAAGTGGAAAGTTTTCTGCAACATTTATTTTTAAACATGCGCAGAAATTATGAGAAAAAATACAGACGAATTACATCATATACCTAGTGCAGTAAAAGATTGGAAACAACAATAGGGGAAGGTATGTATTATACGTATATTGATAGACTGAAATTCTTTGAATACAAGAAAAAATTATATGCTTTGGATAACTTGAGCCTATTTTATCAATATTATATACTTGGCAAGACATATGAAGTTCTATTAAAGCCAAAAATACTATGATTGATGATGAGAAGCATGAAAAACAAATTGGTGAAGGACCTACATTAAATCAGATTTTAACAGAAATGGATCAAAATGTCTTAGCACTTATAGGTTCAATAGTCGCGGAAGGATATAATGCAGGAATCTAACATGCAATTTGTAAGCAATCTTTGCCATATTGTATAATAATTTTTGAAACATATAAAGAAATTAATATTAGGACAGAAATTTATATACGTGTTTTTGCAGGAGTGCTTAAATAATTCAAATGTATGTAACATAAATAATGATGTAGGTGGAGAAAGATTTTTTATAATATGCAATAATCAAGAGATAATACGAGATCCTATGCCATAAAACTCATTGTTTCCTCAAAATTATTTTTGCAGGTATGCCTGAAAAGAATGACCCATCAGAAGAAAGTTTAAGCAATGACAATATTGCACTAATAACATAAAAAAATCTTCAACAAACATAAAAACAACACGTAGAAACACCAACTATTGCAACTGTCAACACATCACACATTTCTGTAATCCTGACTTTAAATTCGGTGTCAATGAAAAAAGATGTTAAAAGAACTTCTGCTGTACAAAGCTATGATAAATCAATAGGACAGATTGAAAAGTTGATTAGAATTTTGCAGAAAGGTAACGAGATACGACAATCATATTATGTAAACAAATTAAAACTTTATAAGATAGAATTAGATTAAAAAAAAGAGATATTAGAGATGCTAAAGAAAAAATATGTATATTGTTGAAGCAATTTTTTAAAACAATTGAAGATGAGGCTATGAAACAATACTAGAGTATGTATAAATAAACCAAAGTTCTTATAAGTTATGTTGATGTTTAAATTTTACGTTGATTAAAGTTTAAATTTAGTTTAATAATTAAATATAATTTTTACGTATTTTCTCTTAAAAATAAGAAATTATTTACGTATAAATTTTATTACCTGATGATTAATTTTATTACCTGATGATAAAATTAACAGTAATGTATGTTAAATTGTTAACATGTGTTTTCTATTAAAGATAATAGATTATTAATTGATAAATGTCGAACAATAACGGACGACATAGCCCAGATGACCTTGATCTTGGCATATGTTGTCAAGGTCGTGACTCTGAGTGATCTTGAGATGGTTTTAATTGATGCTTGTCCTTCGTTTAAAAATAATTAACAAAAAAGTTTGGTATGTGATTGGATTAGAATTAGGTTATTATATATCATTAAACTTTTGAAGTATTTACATTTAATGGATATACCGGGTGTCCCAGAGCACCCGTACCACCCTTTTAAAAGGTAGGAATGTGTTTGTATTAAAAAAATGGTTCAGACAAAATTTGCAGGATTTCGGGAGATCTATCTGATGGTGACCTTGAATTTGACCTTGAGGTCGACCTTGGGCATAACTCAAGGTCAAAGTACCGTTTTACAAATGTAAACCCTTATTCATGACATCACAAATGAAAATAGCGGAAAATTTTACGTCCGAATACGTTATCAAGCCTAGGTCAAAATTACCCTTAGAGGTCATGTGGAGGTCAAGTTACTTTTAGAGCACCCGTACCAACCTTCTAAAAGATATGGATGTGTTTGTACAAAAAATAGTTCAAACAATACTAGGTATTTACATAGCTATGATGCATCCATCTGCTGGTGAATTTGAATTCTATCTTTAGATTCATTTGTAGTCGTGTACATCGATTTTTAAAGATTCCTAATTATCAAGATCTTGAACAGTCGATGCCGCCTGTGTCAGCATTACCCAAGATGTACCACGTGGAGGTCACAAGGTCGGACTTACACCTCGTCGGGGTGCTTTTTTAAGGTGGTTCCCCTTGCCGTCACCTTTGTTCGTACGCATGTACGCATGTTCAGTCTAGATTTTCGAAGTGTCCTCCACGTGCATGTATGCAGGCTGTTATTCTTCGTTGAAAATCATCCGTCACCCGACGAATTTCGACAGGATCTAGAGACTGAATGGCTTCTCGAATTCTGTTCTTCATGTCTTCTGAAGTCGTAGGTCGTTCGCGGTATACGAGGTCTTTTATTCTTCCCCACAAATAAAAATCCAAAATTGTAAGATCCGGTGATCGTGGTGGCCAGTTATGTGGACCATATTTACCTATCCATTGGCCGCGAAATATGCGGTTCAGTTGTTGACGAGCAATGACAGACGTGTGGAACAAGATACTTCTATGGAAAGTAGGTAATTGTTGAGTAATCCAACAGTCAGATATCAGTCTTTGTCTATGATCGTCCAATGTCATGGCCTGGTGAAGTGACATTCGATATGGATGAAATGAATTTTCTCGCAAAATTCTACTGATAGTGCTTCTACTTATTCCACTATCTCTTTCTCGTCTTCTT